GCCGCCGCCGCCTACCCGACCGGACCGCGCCGCCGCCGCCTACCTGACCGCGCCACCGCCAGTTAGAAATTTTTTTTTCTTTTGTTTTGTCCTCTAAAAACGATGTGCGTCTTATGGTCAGGTGCGTCTTATGGTGCGAAAAATACGGTATTTGTTTGCCAGCAGTCAGAATGCCAAAAGTATTTTCTGTCATCTACCAAACCAACTTTCTAAAAATAAAATGAATTCTCAGAGAATGCTGTTCAAGATCTTAAAATAGACTTCCGGTCAAGAGAAAACCCATAGTTTACTTGTATATAAAGTACCGGAGACCATTAAAATATCACAGTACCATTCCTATTACTGATTAGAGTAAGGAAAACATTAAGAACATTCAGAGATTTTACTATATATTTTTCAAATGTCTTACCGTCCAGGTCACTTGAATTGTGGTAGGGGTAAGCACAACAGGATTATGTAGTCGCACAATTACATCGCCAAGCTCTTTTTGGACTTGTCTATGATCCACACCTTGTGCTGGTGGACTGATATCTGCCAGGCCAAACATATAAATGTGCATCAATAACTTATTATCTTACTAAGGAGAGTCAATTAAAATCAATTTATTATGATGATTAAAAGCATAATAAACTTCACTTAAATGTTCTTACTGAAATTAGTTTATTGTCAAACAATGGAGTACTGAGATTGGATTCTGGTCCAGATAGAACACTTCTGATTTATATAAGTTCTAAAACAGGTAATCCTAGAGTGTTATCAATGCAATTTCAGTCCCATACCAAGACTTGAATCCTTACAATATTTTTATAAGATATTAATTTATTTTAATAAATACTGGACATTTATTTTTCAAATAGTACTGAAATGTCCACTGAGGACATGCCTCAATTCCTATTCCCTGCAGGCAGTAAGCCAGATACTATTGTGAACATTTTGAAAGCCACCAAGAGGCTTACAAGGGTCATGAGATGTACACCAGTCCAACCTAAGTTCTAAAACAGGTAATCCTAGAGTGTTATCAATGCAATTTCAGTCCCATACCAAGACTTGAATCCTTACCGAATAGTGTCTGGATATCCTGCTTCTTCTAAGATGTTGTAAGACATTTCTAACCTCTAAATACAGTGGTACCTTGGTATTCATTGTTAATTGATTCCAGGAGGCGCAAAGAGTACCAAAAACGATGAGTACCAAACAAAGGTTTCCCATAAGGAATAATGTAGTGAGCCACAGGGCAGCCGACGCTGACAAGTTTAAGCTTATGCATGAATACCAAAGAAGCTATGAGTACCGGGATAAAAGTTTTACGTCAAAATGCGTAGAGTATCAAATTTGATGAGTTTAAAGCAGTTGAGTACCAAGGTATAACTGTATAACAATATAAGGATCTCAAATAATTATTTGCAAATGTGGGTCTCCAGGTATTCATTAACTTCTGTAATTGATTAATTACTCTTTAATTATGGAAACTGAACTCCTACACACATGTGATGTAACCATTGTACAAAGTCCTTGTGTTTCTGTAACTATACTCTGTACAAACATAGTGTAAATATTTTACCCAAAGATTATTGGTAGTAGTGCTATCCAGGTAGTATCTACAGAGTTTCAGAAGTTACAATAAAATATATTTCAAATTAGATAGGCTGATATGAATACATATATAAAGCAAGAAGAAAACATTTAAAAATTAACAGCATTTTTTGAACTTGTCAGGCAGATTTAAATTCCTAAGAATTGCAAATATGGAATATTCCTTTCAGGAGGATATTGATAAATGTGTTATCTATCACTATAACTGTTTTTCCATATGATATTGTGCTTAGGTTACTGTGTCGCCAAGTCATATGGATCATCATATGGAGCCACAGTCAATTGTGTTTTGGCTTATATTTCACTTCTTTAAAAATAATATATTTATTAGATTCGTTTCAAAGGGCTGGATCACACTGACAATGCTATGAGCAAAGCAATGCTTTAAAGCTGCTTTATGAAGCAACACAGTTCTCCATTTCTATGAAGAGTAAAGTGAAACTGTTGTATTACTTAGCTGCATGATATTCTGGCTGCTTCTTTTGATAACAGAAGAGATTTCTGGGCAAATAGCCTCCCATTTTTCACCTGCATATTCCTTCCTTTTCAAACTTTATTTTTGGTCATTCGGTGCTCCTAAATGTATATGTACTCATTACTATGTACAAATATTAAATATACACTCATATATATACCAGACTATATATACAGGGGTATACATTCAGATATTATATTTCTGCATTTGCATATGCATTGCATATTATGATTAACTTCAAATAGGCTGCTTGAGGAATAAATTCAGGTTACCTTGGGTTCGGACAGGATCTGACATGGTGCTGGGATCACTCAACCCTTGTGAATTGATAGCTCTCACCATAAACAGGTAGATGGTATTTGGACGGAGTCCTCTCACAGTGTAAGGAATTGTTCTAACATGGTTAGCCACTGTTTGCCAGCTATTGCTCACCAACTGGCTGAAATGAAAATGAATTGGAATACTATAGCTACAATCACATACCTTTAAAATAGTCAAGGAAATGTTTCTATCTGCTGTTAAAGACAAATAAAGACATCATAAAATACGCTGTCAAGAACAACAAAGTATGATATATTCTAAATCAATTAAAAGCACAAAACTCCTAACATATGATTGATTATGTGGCATCATATTATTGTTAACTCTTAGTGACCATATAGATAAATTTCTTCATGATGATCTCTCCTTAACCTGGCCCTTCAACCAATGAATGTCCATCCTACTAGATCTTATCAGGTAACACAATAATGTTAGGTAAACAGGAGATAGCTCTCTCTATATTCAGTCCACATCATCAATAAATACATTTAAAAGAATAAAAAAAGATAAGTGATTATTGAGATATCAGTCCTGTATTTAGCTGCAACAATAGATTTGGTTGATACTGACAAAGAATACTGAAAAATGTTTACAGTAAGCCTCCTATTTCTCCTTCATCCATTATCAACATGTTGATAAAATACATTTTAAAGATTTTTGTAAGTTTTATTCTTATAAACTCATATGAAAGTTTAAATCAAATGTTCGAAACATTTTAAAACTATGTAAAACAAAATAAAATTTAACTACATTAAAAGCACCCATGTTCTGACATTAGCTAAAATTTTAGAATGTATTTTGTTTGAAAGTGCAAAGGGTCATAACAGTAATACTTTTTAACCTACCTAAAAGCCTCAATGATATATGCACTTGTTGGTAAGTTCCCAGGTGTACCTGGCTGCCAAGACAACGTGACACTGTTCTTAGTGACATCAGTGACCTGAGGTTTGGATGGTGGTCCAGGAAGATCATTTAAATCATAATTTTTGCTAACTGCTGCTCCCCCAAATTCTACAGAATGCAAATGGTTATATTTTACATCTTTATAGCTGTTTACTAAAGAATGATTTAAATATACATTTTAAATAATTATGTTATAAAAATGCTTTAAACAGATACACAACATATTAAAAATACTTTTGAGGTATAACATATCTTATCATTTCATTATCATTCAACTACAGTAACAGGTGAAGCAAGAGAGAAAGAAAAATATATTCCAACTACTTCCGTTTATAGTAACATTTTTCTCCTATAATGAGAGATTCAGCTAAATGAGGGGTAGAAAACATGTTTTAAACAATATTTTTTTCTTCTACGCTTGTTGTGGAATATCAGGATTAAACCAGCACTTAGATGGGTGGGACTAACTTTTTCTATCCATCATTTTCCCGTTCTTTGGGTAGATCTTAAAAGGAAACTGTTCATAATAGGAAAATGGAACTAATTAGAGCAGACATGTCAAACTCGCGACATCACATGATGTCACGCGATGTATCGGAACTTTTTCCCCATTGCCGGCAATGGGGTGGGTGCGGTTTTCTTGTGACGCGTGCGGCCCGTGGGCCGGCAGTTTGGCACCCCTGAATTAGAGGATAGACTTTATATGTTCTACTGAACATAAAGCATTTTGCCTTTAAATCATCTCCCTTCATACTTCCCCAAAATGAAAAAATATGGATGCATCAGCTTATGCTGCAAAATGATTTTACATGTGTGATGATGTGAAATAAATTCAATGACTTACGCATTTGCATTAGATATTGTAATATTAGTATATAATTGCATCTTTGGGAGTGATGACATAATCCCACATATATTGCTATGTTGATGTCACTTTGGTCTGTTATGGACACCATTGTCTCTGGACTTAATATTTCCTTCCATGCACAGAGTTTTTAGGAGGGACAAATATGAAGTTTCTCAATATACTGAAGGGCCACAATGGCTATTATAGACAGTGCTTTAAGCTTGCTGACCTGTCTATGGAGTTCTGAATTAACTTTTGCCAATACAATGGCTTCTACCACTGGGTCTTGAAGCTAGAAAGCTAGAGGGGGAGTAGAAAATGGGAAAGTTTCATTATATGTGTAGAAGGCTTGCACAATATTAAATTTTGCACTTAACAAAAATTTTAATAAGAATCAATGATAATGTTTTGAATGTCCTATTTTGTTCTAGTATATTTTTGTTTTGTTTTTCTGTGTTATGCAGGTATAACCTACCTGTAACATCCAACACAGCACTCCAAGATGTTTCCCCACTTGAACTTGTGGCAACACAAGTATATGTGCCCATGTCAGATATCTAAAGACATGGAAATAAGAAATATCAATCCTTTACTTTAAATATTCATTTCTTTTTAAAAATATTTTTGTTGTGAACTAAGAGGGTAGCATTATTCAGAATTATTATAAACTGGAATACAATATTTCACAAGAAATAATTATGTATTTCATTTAGTAAACTGAATTCCTTAATTTTATTTTATATATTTTCAAATTTTCATCCCAACCTATGTCTCACATAACTACTATCACTAGCTTAAAGTTACAATTTTAAAGGGGAAATAATATCATACTTAATTTTGTACTTAACAAAAACTTCAATAAGGATCAGTGATAATGTGTTAAATGTCCTGATCTGTCTAGTACATTTTTGTTTTATTTCATACTTCAAATAAAATATACTTAACAAAGAGAGCAGTAAAAGTGTATACCTCTACAGTTTTTTATATAAGGTTCCTGTACTATATGATTCAAGATAGAATTGTTTTTAAATGGTCATATCAGGAAGTACAATGCAAGGGCAAATTATACTTTTTGATTTTAAATCATAAACATTTTCTGCTTTCTTAAACCATCAGATTTAACTCTTTTTTTTTCAAGACTCAGAAAAAAGAATCAATTTTAAAGGTTTGTTTTTGTAAGTATTTGAGGATAATCAAGTAATTAATCTTGTATTCTTTTTTGTAAAAGAGCTCAATACAGTATATATAGCATTCTTTTTTTGTTTATTTCCTCATAAAAATCTGTGAGGTAAGTTGAGCTGAAAGGTAATAAATGATCCAAAATCACCCAGTGATCTTCTATGGCATAGGTTTGATTTACTGTAAACCTACCCTCTAGGACTTAAGAAACATCCATTATACCACATTATTTTGTAAGCTTAAAAGTTTTGCACTTTTTCAGCTATTACTTTCTCAATAGGGAAGTTCTTTTATCATCACAAGTGATTAATGGACTTACTAGATTGAGCAATATTTAGCTGTCTCTATAGATGAATAGAGACCAATTGCCTGCAAACATCTAACATGTAAATGCTTGCCAGAAGCCATTAATTAAGCCAGAAAGTTAGTTTTAAATCATGAAGTTTTCATCTTTAACTGCTGCTTTCTAATTGTTGGGAAACCATGACTATTCAAGTACATTGTTAATCTACCTCCATATAACGCACACATTTATTTCCTTTAACTGTATAAGAGAAAACTATTTATTCAAATAATTGTATTTCTCAATTATATAATTGCTCTTGTACATAATTATTTAATCAAATATATAGGCCACCTCAGTTGAGGTTGCAACTGGAGGAATACTGTATATAGCATACTCTTCAGTGTATGCATTCAATATAAATTATAAACTGTATAACAATTCACACAATACCAATTAAACAGCATATTTATGTATATATGTATCTTAAACAGTAGATAGATAGATAGATATAGATAGACAGACAGACAGACAGACAGACAATTTTCCACTGCAATAATATAAATTTGGTAAAATTATTTTCCCTATAAGATCTTATTTAATTGTATTATTTTCATGCAAAAATTCTTCTCAACTTGTTGAATAGAATAGAATAGAAGAACAACAGTTATTCTTTCATTGACTGGTCCAAGCATAATAAGAGTTTCTGCTAATTGAACAAATCATTTATGAAAAATAGTTCTTCTTTGAAGCACGTTCTAATTTGTTCTTATTCCACTTTAAATAAGTCATTTATAATTCCTTTCATTAATCCCTATATTAATTATCAGTGTCAATACTGTTTGCTTCACCTATTTGCAAAATTTAATCTGTCAACTTTTGAAACGAACCTGGCTGAAGCCATCTTTGTTGTTCACAGTTGTCACACAGGCTGGGAGGGGCGGGGGAGAAAATGGATGTATTGCTAGACATAACATTGAGCGATCCCGTGGGAACCAAGGTCATCCTCACAGGTGCTGAAGACAGAGAGGAATGTCGAGGAGCCCACCAATTGCCCTCTGTGGGTAGCGAGATCAATGACATGGTGGGGGGGGAGTTTTATATTTAGTTACAGTGAATCCGCATTGAGAATTTTAGAGTTGGTTTCACTTTTGATCGTGCCGATATTATGTATCCAAAAAACATGTTCTTTGAGGTATTTACAACCCTCAGAGTTCTGATTTGTTTGGGTTCATTAGTGGGAACCATGACACTAATATCTTATACTTATTCCTTCAAAATCAAAAGTATTATTCTAGCAAGGAAATTATTTGGCTTGTTTCTGAAGGCTTTTCAGTTTTATAGTAATGTGGAGCTAATACTGCAAAACTTGCATAGGTAGGTATGTATATGTAGAAGAAGAGATAAAATAATAGTGGCTTTATGTTTAGGTCACATGTGCTGTTACTGATTTGTTGTTTAATTGCTGCTTCTTAGTTGCTCGGTTCACTTTTGTCACCTAATTCTATATTTTTTGTAGTAACAAAGTGGACAGACTCAAACTTATAAACAGCCACTTTTATTTCTTTTTATATTTAATCTCTACAGCAGACAAGATTCAATTTAGCACATTTATCAGCAGGCCACATTTTAATTTCCCACATTTATTTACTTAATAACTATTTTAAAATATAAATTTTACATTACATTCATATTCATAATTTGTGAGTAAGTAGTAATTGTTCACACCATTTCTCCTATCAGTCACAAATATTATGGTCTTGATTAATTAATTTTCAGATTTATATGATCCATTAAATCATATCATTAATTTAACATTTGGTAGGGATAAGTTCTCCATGAACAACACAAAATATCATTTACATCAGGGGTGTCAAACTGCCAGCCCGCGGACCAGATGCGTCATGCTGAAATCGCACCCACCCCATTGCTGGCAATGGCAAAAAAACCGTGATACATCATGACACGTCATGCGACATTGCAAGTTTGACACCCCTGATCTACATTCTCAAATAAGCATACTCTGAATTCTCCAAGAGCACATCCCTTTAGCATCAACAGAAACTTTCCTAACATTTTTATATGTTACAAAGGAATCATTGCATATTCCTGGATTACTCTTGGCTCAATGATGAATTATTTGGTAAACATTCTCTTTATTTTCATGCATGCTGTATTTCCATATTACAAATTTCTTACTTTATTTACCAACCAACTTTAATTTTACATACATGCAAGAATTCCATGATTCAAACTGTTTTACCTTGTCACATGCTTTCTCTAATTCAGCAAGTGTATAATATTTTTCCCATATTGATATATTTATTAACATTCTGTTGAAGGACAATAATCTATTTTGCGCAATCTGAGGACAGCATAAATTATATTACCGAATTTTGCTAATTGTCATTTTGTATATATGTAGAGTTAAAATTCTGTTAGAACACCTTCCTAGGTACATTTAACAAACCTATTCCCTGATAGTTATGAATTATTATTTTTTAAAAAACAAGGGTATAAAAATGATATTCCCACAGTTTCAAAAAGGAAACCGAGTAATTCAAATTGTCAACTGTAGAAGTACAAAGCATAAAAAGCTGATTTAAAGGAGGCCATTACCAGAGAGAGACTACTATGAAATCCTAAAGATTGGAATAAACAAAATGAGCAAACATTATATACTACACATCTATTAATAGCAGGGTAAAATAGGTATACTTAACAAATTAGAAAATAGAAAAGGGGGACTTATCCTGGAATTTCTAAAAGAACAAGAGTGAATAATAAGCTGTTGTTTCAAATAAAACTACATCAGATGAAACTTGGGAAAGGCAAAGACATTTAAGAATGTATAAATGCTGTCTTGAACAACTGCACGGGATTATGAACAAAGAATAAACATGTGGCAGGTGGAGGCAGAATTAACATTAGAATTTGTTAAAGGAAGGCTTGTAGATGAATTGTGGAGAAAATAATGATCAAGATGAAGAGACAGTATTAAAGTCTAGAAATACTAGATCTGGATGAGACTTGGACTGAGGCTTCTATGAAGCACTTCCTTGATATTTCCTCATGGGCTTCTTGGTGATACATTAGACACTGCATCAAGTTATTTTGCTGGCCATTTCCAATAAAATAGCTAGATAAGGGAAAGCAAAGTACCCTGTGCTTTTTTTTTGCTAGTTTTTATTTGTGGTGCTCAGGCAAAAACGTTCACTTTTCTAGGACAAGGTGCTGCCTTAAAATAGATTGCTCAGAGACAAGGCAGTTTTGCAAAATGGCACTTTTGCCAAGTTCTAAAACAGAGGTCCCCAGCCTTTTGGGCACCAGGGATCAGTTACGTGGAGAGAGGTTTTTCCGCGGACCGGAGGGGGCATGGTTTTGTGTGCTGCCTGCATCCTGTAGATGGGGCTTTGCTTGTTTGTGCGGCCTGGTTGCTTGCATGCCGCGGCCCGGTACTGGTCCACGGACTGGGGGGTTGGGGATCCCTGTTCTAACAGATACCAGAGTATATAGAAAAGAAACTAGAAATTAGAAATAGAAATTTCTTTTCTTTTAAAAGATATTTTTTGTCACTGAGCGGGTTAACAGAGTAAAATAGTATGATTTTACTTAAAGATATAGCAAATGTCTATATTAAAATATTAAAATTGGTTGCCAGGACCTATACAAATAAATAGTTGCACTGAAAGCATATAATAAAAGAAAATGCATTCAAATTTGGCATCATATTTAGAACACCAATATTCAAAAAGCATTTTGGAAAAAAGCTGTGCATATTCAAAAGCTGGGTTTTGAAATACATGGAACTTTATTTTGAATAAACTGTCTGTTTCTTATTAGCTGCTTTGAAAACTGTTCCAAATTGTCTTGTCATGCATATGACTGCACAGTCATTTCCCTTCACTTTTTCTCAACTATTTTAATAGATTACTTTAAAGTCATGACAGATGAGGCATTTGAAAAATGTATAGCTTGACAAATAATTGTAATTGGTGCAAACTTCAGTTACAATATGGGTAACCATAGGAAATTTACAGGAAGAACTTCAATCTTATAAAAAAAAATACATGGAATACAGCTTCAGGAAAAAAGCAGCATAGCACATTAAAATGTAGTTTAAAGAAAAAATACAGCCTTAGTCAGAAATGATGGATGTTGATTGCTTCAGGTCAATCATAAAAATATCGCAATAATGTTGCATAACAGATCTACAAATCTGATATTTTTTAAAAATTAAAATTCCTTATGAGCTTTGTTTTTTACTTTAATAAAAGTAATTTTAAAATATATAGCAATATATTAGGATGTAAAGTGCACAGGTGTGGTCAAAGAACTGAATAAAATGTGCCATACTAGACAATACAACAATGGAAAAAACACTAGTTGATTATAGTAAGCAAACAAACTAAGAAAAGACTACAACTTATTGATTAAAATACAAATTAAAATTTGATTTTGAAGGAATCTGAAGAATTTAACTGAAATCTATAATGACAGAAGCAGAAAAAGAATAAGCTGTTCAACAAACAGAAGAAACATCACAAAGATAAAAGATACATGGAATGCTGAGACATCTGATAAGAAGGCATTCAACTTAAGCATAGAATAAGTAAAGATAAACCTCCTGTGCATTTTCTCATAAAATCATTACTGAACTTGAAAGAAATTGTGTAGGGAAGCCAAAAAACTGGAAATTGGCAGCAGCAGCAGAAATAAAATCCATGTACAATAAACATATATGGGAACACACTTTTCTTCAACTTAATGGAAAATATATGTGAATATTTAAAGAAAACTATACTACAGATGGCATTATGTTCTGTAAACAATTCTGCCTGCTTTAATTAGTCACAAACAGGTATTTATGCTCATGCACATTCTGAAAAATCTCTTTTAAATCAAATCTAAAGTTCGGCCTATTCTATATATATATCTACTTTATGTGTCCATATGGGTGCATATATGTTCTTGGGTAAACATATGAATTTATCAAAAATATATATCAAAAGATGAATGTAAATTTTTAAAAGAAACATTTAAGAACTAAAACCCTCTGCCAGAGCCTTTTTGCAAAATGATTTATTTATTTATTTGAGACATAAAGTGCCTTTCGGTTTTGCAAGCACTCAAGACAACTAACACAAAATAATAATAAATGAAACTAGTATTTATATAAAAATCATTGGGATGCTTATTCTAGTTTGTGCAGATAATTGGGTAACATGCTTTGAATAAATAGAATTTAATGAAAATATTAAAGATTTGGAAATTAAGAGCCAGGAAAACATAACAAAGTTCCTTGAATCAGTTCACTATCTCATGTATGTTGGAAAGGAAAGTTGTAAATATGTATCATTCATGAGTTAGTGGTGGATGAGTTAAAATGTTATCATATGCAGCAACTGAAGATAGGAAAATAAATACAAGGATAACTACTTTGTAGCTAAGCAACAGTATTTTTTTCCTCTCAACCTAAAATTGGGATTTATCATATGTTGAGGTAATTACTGATATGTTTTACTATTTATTCTTGCCTATCAGTAAACTTATCTCATTTCAATTTTCTCACATGCTCCATACCTATTATTTAATTTTATATTTATACATTAATGTTCACAAATTTTCTTCTCTTTATTGAATAAAATATTGTTTGTAACAGTTTACTCAATGCCTGCTCCTGAGTATTTTATAATTAATTAATATTTTTTAAAAGTTACCTTTTAAATTTTTATTTATTTATAAAATTTATAAAATTTATAAGCTGCCCATTTTACCTCAAGGTAAGAAAAGTGTTATTTTATTCAGAACAAAGATAAGCAGTATTTATAAATAGTTATATGCAGCCTAAATTCAAGAAAGAGTCCAATTTTCCTTCCATAGTTGTGATACAAATTTCTGTTGCATGTTCATAGGTATTTCATAGCCAAAACACTTCCAATGTATTTACTTGAATGGCAATTTTGCATATCGTAATAAAATTGTTTTGATTCTAGTTTGGTAACTGAAAAGGACCTGTAAACTTTTACATAGTACACAACTTTCTAATAGTTTAAATGCACGGCTACTATTTACAGTATGTACAATTATTTATAGAGACAAAATGAGGACACATTGAATATGGCAGGTACAAAGTTGGAACAACGTTGGTGAACTTTGTAATGTCTCCTTTGACAAATGACAGCTTCCAACAGGGAAAAAAACAGCATCAAAAATTTTCTGTGGCCAAACTAATAATATTTCTGTTCTTGCTATTGATTAATTGCATTTATTGAGTCTTTACCTCTGCTCTTTGATTTTTAGGAATATTCAACTTTGGAGCCTTCAATGGTCTCTCAAAAATATTCATCTTTCTTTCCTGTAAGTACTTTATAGCTGATTTGGAGATATATATTGCAGATGGTTATCTTAATGAAAAATCCAATCACTTTTCACCTCAATTCTACAGTGGTTATGGGACAAAAAATATCTGAGCATTTAGTTGAATGCATTTTCCTTCCACCCATGCAATATTTCCTATACTATGTGGCTACTATATTATATTATTAACACATACCAGAAACGTCCCCGTATTTAATGGTTGATGATGTGTTCTTTCCAGCAAATGCTTTCCTCTTTTTATCTCAAAATGTTTCTTTCCTTCTTTAAAGATGTACACCAAGAATTCAGTTTTTGTTTCACATTGTCCAAATTTTGCTCCACAATATTTCAGGTTCAAGATTTTCTTTTGGATAGTTTAGGAAATCATTTTTGTGATAAAGTTGGACAATGAATTTCATTTTGTCAACTGTTCTGTGCAGATCATTGTTGTATAACTAATACTTATTTTGGTTATACTGGATTTGTGGATAACTATTCCAGTGTCAGCTATATTTTTTGTCAGATCATCTGCATTAAACTGTAGTTCTGTTCTGCAGATATTAACAAAATTTGAGCAGTTCTAGTGGAGATTTTTTTTACTCTTTTAACTATTGCCTTGATTTCAACACATTCATTAACCCATTATTTTTCTTAAAAGTTAAAATTGCTAGTCAGAAAGCTGCTTAGAGGATGTCATGGCTGTTGAAAATAAATATAACAAAATCAAAACCTGAAAGTTTGTGAGATAGAATATTTGTTACCTATAGAATTTTCTTTACCTGGATATTGCACAATAGCCCTAGAAATTCAATTTTGTATTAAAACCTAACTAAGAAATTCACTTATAGAAAGAACAAGGAAAGAGGCATAAGGGAGGAGAAAGAGCAGCAACAGCACTTAATTAACAGGAAGATTGTCCAAAATTCTGCATTTGCCATATGCACAGTTTTTCTTATTTGGAGCATGTAAACAACTACATAGACATAATAATTATGCATTTAAATTGGAACAAATATTTCAGAAATTGTGTCAGCTTCTGTTCATTAACCCAGAGTGCCTAAACTTCTACATGAGATGTACAATCAATAAATAATTAAGCACCTCTCATTTAACTATTACTCTCTTGATTTCAGAAAGGTAAATATGTTGTTACAAAATATACTCACCCGTAAAGGTTTAATTTGCAAAGTTCCTTGATCTTGTATAGATGTCCTTGGATCTCTGCCAAGAAAAGTAAATCCTTCTTTTAACCAGCTGATAACAGGCATTGGGTCACCAGTAGCTTTGCACTTCAGTAAAGCTGTTCCATCTACTGCCAATGTCTGGTTTACAGGTCCCTGGAGAATGATGGGTGGAGGCCTATCTGTTAAAACTGAATTTAAATATATATATGTGCACATATTAGTAGATATCCTTTAATATTCAGACTCAGATGCCACTATTTTGAAAACCATTTTCTAGAAAATTATATTAGTAGTTGCTAAGAGCCAGTTCATTGTAGTAGTTAAGGCACTGGATTAGAAACTGGAAGACCATGCACTCTGATACCACTTTAGGCACAAAGTCAATTGAGCGACCTTGGGCTAGTCACACCCTCTCAGGTTCAGCAAGAAGACAATGGAAAACCACTTCCGAAATCTTGCCCGTAAAACTGCAGGAACTATTCGACAATGATTCAAAGGCACAAAAGAAAAAAAAGTTTTCTAAAGAAGGTATTTATGTTGTTTATTAATGTGTTGTTTATTAAATTAATAAGTAATCCCTTTCAACAATTGTTGTTGCATAATTACACATCTTGGATAATATAAAATGAAGGAATAAAAGATAAAAAAGAATACATTTGAATTAGAGTTACAAATCCTGTTTCTAGAATTTGTATCAAAATCCTGATGGCATAAAAACATATTACTAAATAATGAAAGCAAATAGAAAAAAGCAATCCATTAAGGATCCTGTAAAAGCCTACAGTTACCAAAATGCCCTTTTTGATGGTAAAAATATAACTTTAATTTGGGGACAGATTCAAATATTCTGACACATCATACATTTTATTTTGCTTAAAAAGAAATTGATAGTTGATGAAGTGTTAGCCACACAATTTTTCCATGAAAAAAGAATATTGTAAAAATCTCTTTGCAGTAAATCAAGCAAAAATATTAATATAAATGAATACATATTTTTGTGACTTTGTAAAAATATGGTTAGCTCCAAAGTGATCTATACATATATGAAGAATATTTTCCATGAAATTACTTCCAGAATGTACACTGACACAGACACAGACATCCCCTAAACACCACTGAAGATGTTACCTAGCCTGGTAATGAAATGTTCGGAAACCAACCCACAAGCTAGGAGAACGAACCTTCACCCTCACTTCCAGAATGTTTTCTGAATGTACAAGATGCATTACAAAATTAAGAACACCATACATTCTATTACAGTTTATATAAAACTATATATCCACTCTGTAGATTTCTGGGGAATGCCAAGTATGTTTTTCATACCCATAGCCTTCTGGATTAATAGATATATTGAGAAACTAACAAGCTATTTATTAAAATGTATTAAGCCATCATTAAGAAAATCATTAAGTCATTCAGAAAATGACTTTGAACAAAGATGAAAAATATATTTATATGCTTAAATTACAGTATTAAAAATGTGCTTTGACATGTAAGACTACTTATATATTTCATTTTGCAACTGAGCTATCTCATATATAAGGAATATATTAATGTTTATTTTCTTGCAAGCTATTTTTATAAAAGAAATATTGTAAGATTGTTCATTGTTTTTAAGTTAATTGTATTGTAATTTTTTTATTATTATTGGTTCAGCCTTCTTTCGGTAAAATGAGGACCCAGATTATTAGGGTCAATATGCTGACTTTAAACAGCTTAGAGAGAGCTGTAAAGCACTGTGAAGCGCAATATAAGTCTAAGTGCTATTACTGATGTTACTCAGAAAAAAGGAATAAAACAAAACTAAGTATTGAAGAAGATTAACACAGACACTATTCAAAAACCAAACATAAAGAAAACTGTAATTGATTTATTTAGTAATGATTAAATATATCATTCTTTTTATTGATTAAAACAATGAAAGTTGCATATGTCCTTTCCAGAAGAGCAGCTGAGTCATGTTGAAATTTAGGAACTGTAAAATTGATTATGTGTAAATGAAACTGAATATTAATACATTTGTAGAATGTGATAATCACATCACTGTGACTTGTTAATATATTTGCTACTCTTTAAGGAGCCACAAGTCCTTTTGTTTATCTTATATAAGCAATTATTTTCAAAATGTGTTCAAGCATTTAATATGGAAATTCATGTATTATATATATTTATACAAAATCTGGCGTCTTCTGGCCAGGAAGCTTTTAAATACTTTATTTATGTTATCATTTAAAGGATTAGAATTATTTCAACAGCAAAACCTAATTAATTGACAGAGATATTTTCTTTTTAAAGAAAAACTATTGAAATATGAATTATAATGGACAATATAACATTTGAGTCATTCATTTAATAAAATTAATGTTACATTATATTTTATAGCCATTTTAACATGGCAATTTTGATACATTTTAATATTCAAATATATATTCCTTTTCCAAAATATTATTTTTTATTTATTTACCATTGTGGTTTCAGATTTTATTCATTCACCCTCAATGTCAATTTGATTCTGTTTAGCCTAAAGATTAATTTAATTCAATTTAGTTAATTTAGTATTATAGTAACTCTGATTTATTTTTACTTATTTGTTTAACAATAAAATTCCAAATATATCCATATATGTATGCATGTATCTCCATCTGTCTGTCTGTATATGTGTACATTTATGTACTTTAGGGCAGACTTAATGTAATATATATATATATTACATTATATATATATGTATTTTAGGGTTTTTTTATGCTTCACTGATGGAGCAAGGAAATAAAGCATACTCCATAGACATTTTCATTCAATTTCAAAACTATTTAATGTAATATTTTCTAAACCCTTCTCAGACATTGGTACAGATTACGGTTACTTTAAATGTTGATTTGTTTTTACAGATTAATAAAATTTGTCTGCAAAATTATTTTATTTTACATGTTTTCTAGTAGTTCCATAAAATTCTAGTAGATAGAAAAGCTAAATGAAATGTAATCCTTATTATATGTTCTTTATATTATATTTTCAATGAATTCCATCTTAAAAAAATGACAGTAAGTGGCTATAGAAATCAAATAAATAAAATAAAATAAAAAGATAAAAGATAGCAACAGTAATTAACCCAGATGAGTTTGTTATTTTAAATTTGTTTTTACATTTAACATGCTGGGAATCAATCGGCATATAAATTTAATAAACCATAAATAAAAATTAAGATAGGTTGTTGTTTGTGTTCCATAGAAATAAATCCTGCAAGAGAATAAAATCCTTCATGAAGGAAGAAGTTGTTATAACTCATGGGTCTAATTTGACTTATTCCCTTCACATCCTATTGCATTTTTAAGCTTTCTACCACCACCATTTGCATGTCATGTCCTCTTGACCAGGAACTGAATGCACTGTTTATTTCAATCAAAGCTGAACTACTTATTAGCGAGTGAAATACTACTACAGAAACACAGGCACATATTTTAAAAACAATGCTTTTCCATTAGTTTTAAATGTCTATTTAATCATATAAAAATGAACTGCATCAAAATGAATCATTTTGTCATAAAGAATGAAAAAAGGCAATATTTAAAGTGGGAACAGGACAATAGTTAGTACTCAGGATTTAGCTGCATACTTTTAAAAATGTAATAATAAAAAACAAATTTTCTTTCTTTTTCAATCAGGCAATATAATATTTTGAGAAAAGAAAGCCCTGTTTTATTCCACCAAAAAATGCTGCTGAACTGTTATCTATAAATCATGACGAATATCTGCTTGTGAAAAGCCAGATGATTTCAAATTAGCCTGGCTATTTTTTAATGAAACATCTGAGTATCTACAGAACTTATGAAACAAAATCTTTAATGCAACATTTTTAATGGTAAAAATTCTGCAATCTGCCAAAAGGTATTTAATAAGATTGCAAAAACAGATGGTTCAGAATGCCCTGAAATACTAATCAAGTTTGCATTGAATTATTTTAATATTAATGACAAAACATAAACATTTGGGAGAAAAATTCAAATGATGAATGCTTTCTTAAAAAAATATTATAAACATATAAAATAAAATATTATACAATATACTATAAAGGTAATTTATCGAAATGTTTGACAACTGTGCTAAATGCACCTCAATGATTTTTGTTTTACACTTGAATTGCAGATACTCAAATAACTCATGAAGAGAGTGATTCATACTTAAACTATTTTTTAAACTGGCTTTCCTAAATAAATGCCTCGATCTTCTTTCACTGTAGTTTTCATTTCAAGGATTAACCACTACTTTAAATCCTGATACCTTCCCCCCCATAAAAATATTGAGATCATATTTTTAAAATCTCTCAGCAGAAATTATATAGTATTTAAGCTGACTTAGAAATAGCAAATATTGTAATGCAAAGTGCTATAAAAAGAAAGTGTGTTAACTATCCATATTTCTAAGTAAAGGACCAGAAATTCAGCTGCTAAAATTGATGTATCCCTATTAATTTTAATAGGAAAAATCTGATTTTACCTTAATATCTAGGCCTGAATAACTTGCAACTCATGCCTGTCAGCCTGTAGGAGAGTGAAGGAAATTAACTTCATTTTTCTGCTTGTAAATTATACCTTTCAGAATAAAACCAATAGGAGGTTATGTATCACCTTACATATAATATATAGTGGGCTGCTGGATTTCCTACAGCATCTACAGTGTCACAAAAAATAGATTTCCTTATTTATCACATTTAGATATAATTCAGGGATATTATATTCATATAATTTTTTAACTCTGGCTTATTGACAGTCCACTACACAGATATAAAAATACCCAAGGCATATGTGGAGTTTTCAATTTTACAATTTCAATTTTTATATTTTCTTAGCATAAATGTGTGGGATTATTATTATGAACTTTATGAACTTCATATAAACAGTAAACAGTGGAAGTTTACTGTATATAATGATATAGAACATCAGGGATATATTTAGACATTTTAGATATTGATTATTATATTATAGTATATTATTTTATATACAGGTAGTTCTCATTCAATTACTGCTTCTGTTACTGTACACTTGGTTGTTAAGCAAAAGTGAAAATTACATGACCACAACTTATGATTTCACTCCAGTTTTCCTTTGTTTTTTGCCATTTCCTTCAACAGATCTGGGTTTGCTTCTGTCTGTCTTTAAAAACATTTTGGTATGGTGTAAATAAGCAAGAGGAACGAGGTGCTGGAAAGGACATAACTGTGGGGCATAGTTGTTAAGCTGGTTTTTTTTAGTATGGTTGTAACTTTGGTCACTAAATGAGGCAGATACTAAGCAACAACCACTTATATATTATGCTCATTACGTTATATAAAAAATTCTTCCTCTCACCTGATAGTCATTTTGCTGAAAGAGATTTTATGCTCTGTCTGAAAAGTACTTTCAAACTAAGAATCAATTGATTTGGTATAAGTCATTGTGTCCAAAATAATTTATACCCTTTTGTCATGGGATATGTGTATGTATGTGTATATTTCCTGTAAACAATTGCACGTAGGATTTCACTTTGGACTAAAGCTACTTGCAGATTTAGAATTATATAATATGGGGATTACTTCTAGTTTAGTTCTTCCAGTAATTAAGTACTTTCAGTAGCTATTAAAAATAAATACAATAGGAAATAATTATCTGCATATGAGAAGTTCTAAAGAATCTCCACTTATCTAGACATTTGTCAGAGTGGGTGAATGAGAGAACAGGGTATTTGGTTTCAATTATTCTTGTCTTGGTAGCTTCTTATTTAAACTGCCCTAACTGCCTTTTGGTCAATCCAAATAATTGGTTTAGATCTACAAACAATTCATGACTTGGAATCATAAGCATATATAAAACAATATATAACAATAATAGCAATATATCATGAAGGTCATTTCTTACCATCTGTAACTTCCAACTGAGCCTTTGCTAAGATACTTCCAGCAACTGTGAGTGCTTGACAGATGTAATATCCTGCATCAGCCCGCTGAATGTTTGTGATAGTAAGATCCCCAGTTGGTGACACAGAATACCTGGCATTAGGCTGGAGAGGCTGATTCGGAAATAGAAGATTCTGTAGAGGTAATAAAAATCATTTAGTTCAAACCTGAATCACTAAAGATTTTCTAAGTAACAGCAGCATTCTTCACAATGGGCACATTACTATGTACACATGGTTGTATAACTTCCTATGAGATAAATTGGTGCAATTTTTAATTGGAACTTACTATATATAATTTTTTAATATGGTAGGTGCACAGTTTTATTGTAAAATAGGATTTTCCTTACTTATGAAATATTCAGCTAGATATTATAATTTAGGCTATTGGTTTTGTAGGACATTTAAGATGGTTTCCTTAAAGTTCCCAAACACAGCAAAATTTCAGAAATCATTTTAATAATAAGCTTTAGAAAAACAAGAAATTACACATAAGTAACTTGGTCAGTAGATATTACATTTCTAAAAAGAAAATTATATTATTTGCCCATATGTATTTAAGTAATCAGATGTTAGTGGGTAGTTATGATTTTTCAGAAGACTGCCTATAGTAAATTTTATATGTTATTAAATGGTGATGTTGAATATAAGAACTAATTTTTTAAATGTTGGCTGTGTTTTCACATGGATTTCATAAATAATGGATATTTTTTTAATAACAAATCATAACAGTATGTTCTAACACCCCCCATCTATGGTATGATTTAGTGAATATGGGAATCCAGCCATTAACAACATAATCAATTATCCAAATACAATACTGTGAAGAACATGGTTCACTTATTCAAGAATATTGGAAATATACTGCTGAAATCCAACAGAGAATAAAGTATACATATTCTTTAGTATAAAGTTGCTACATTTTATATAATATATGATTAAAATCTCAATGAAATAGCTACTAAATATAAACAGTTATACTAACTACCATCATGAAAAATCCAGGGACAGTTATTAACTCCTCTCCTATCCAGTTGACAACTCTTAGTAATAGAGTAAAAAAAAAAATCCAATATAAGAATGCCTTAAAATTTATGTTACTAGGCTAATATAAGTAACAGAAATCTACATGATCATAAGAATATGATCATGATTATACAAGACAATAGAGTTTGCTTTTCCTTTCTTTCTTTTTGAGGGAGGAAATGTAAAATTAATGACAACTGGGTACACAGAATAAAAAAATAATAATTTATATATCCAATTTAGGCAAAGCTGAAGTAATATGCCTTTACTATTCATGATAAAATGTAATGACAGGACTTTTAAACATTTAAAAGGTTGATATCTCCCTACAAAGAGCAGACATTTTTATATTAGAGTGGAAACATTAACCTGGTTAACCTCTGTTGCTTTATTGAAGCTCAATTAAGAAAACAACATGTGGGAATAATGAATCACATTGAACTATGTTTCAAGGTTTGATTATAAACAACTGAGGTATCAATTTTTATGTTACATTTATTTGCCAAAAAGAGAACATTTAAGCCCTCTGGGAACTTGGTCTCAATATTGTAATTAATTCTACAGGTTTGTAATTAAACAGCTTCAACATGTTACAATCAGTAGGTAACAGCATTCAATTAAAGAAGCAAGATACATTTTCACCTTAAAATGTTTTACCCTTGAAGTAATACCAATGAAAGTGGATAAAAAAGGGTATTAACACTTTTCAATTACACTAAATGACTGTAATCCTGCAAATGATATCCTACTTTAATTAGAAGCTCTTCTCTTTATTACATCATGATGGATGTCCACTTTATTAGATTCAAGTGTGGCACTATAAGCCCACTTTACATAAACATTACCATGTTATTAAGACTTTACAGTAACATATTTAAAATTCTTATTTTAATTTTTAAAATGGCATAAATTTTCTCCTCAAAGAAATTTTCTCAACAGCAAGCCAAGAATACTTTTCTTCATAATGAAATCAACTTTTAAATTATATGAATCAAGTCCTTCAAATAATGCTCACACTGCACATTGAAGCAAACAACCAAAAAACCTGTCAAGCTTTGAAACAAAGAAAAATGCAACCATTCGTAGGAGGATATGTTCTATCCACATCTCTGTAATTTTCCAATATACAGTGGTAACATGACACATGAATTATTTTTTCAATTCATAAGAGTGTCAACCTATACATTTTATAGTTTAACTGATATATAATACAGACAATATTTCAGTGGCTCAACCATATGGGTGCATATAAGCTAGCTATCCTCCAAAAGATATAGAAATAATTTCCTATTCCATTGAAAGTAGCTGTTGTGGTTTAGATTGTGGAGAACAAGTCTAAATTATTTTCTCCAGTTTGTTAGCGAGACAAAGCGCTAGCATAATATATTTATATTCTGTAAAAACTTAACTGGATAGCAAAATAAATTAATCATTGATATAATGATCCTATTGGATCAATTCAATATGTTTTAAAGTCTTGAAAATAAATTAAAATTATTATTATTATTTAATTATTACTGCCATTCACAATATTGATATAAATAAATAGGGGAATTGTGCCCCCTTGCTGAGACTGCCTGCAAATTGGAACATAACCTGCATAAGCCTTGCAAGTAACACTGTTTTTTTATATGTTTTGAGAAAAACATCTGTCATGCAAATACCCTTTCTGATACAGTGGTTCCAAAGCCTTGTATATCTCTAGTAATTAAAGAATTAATTCTCATTTAAAGAACTTACCTGGCTGCCTTCTTTTTGCCAAAACACTGCTGGCTGAGGATTTCCTTTAGTTTCACATGGGAATGTTACTGTTCTTCCCTGGGCAACAATCTGATCACGTGGCCTTACCACAAACTGTGGAGGTGCTATGAGGCGAGAAGTCAAAATAATACATTAAAAGATGAAAAGTTTTAACAGCTATATCAAACAGTTAAATGCCATGGTACTTTCAATTTCTGAAATCAACTTTGTCTCACAAGTAAAAATTATAAAAGTTAGCAAAAGCTGAATTGAAGAACAAGGAATACAGTTTTTTAAAGGAGCATGTGTACAGCATATCTTGAAGTTTTACTCTGTCAAAGTGTGGACCTAGGTCTTGTATAGTACAGATTAGGACCATAGGGTGATTGTATAAAAATGGAAACTGCAATATAAATTTCTAAGAAATATCTTACAAATTCCATGGCATGCCTCAAACATAGCTCTCCATTGTGAGACTTAGATCAAAACTAAGATTTAGCTATTTTTTTAATCTATTGGTAAAAGCTAATAGGGCAGATCTATTGGTAAAAGCTAATAGGGCAGATTTGTTAAATAACCCGCAGCAGTGCCAAGTGACAGCAACATTGTAGAAGGAGTATGAGTATGAGAAGCTAGAGAAAGGCCTGAAAGAGGAAATAGAGGGGACGTGGAAAGTAAAGACCAAAGTAATCTAAGTGTGGTAAGAGCACTCAGGGGCTGTGACTCCTAAGCTGGGAGAGTGGTTCCCACAGATCCTATATACATCAGAGCTCTAGGTTCAAAAAAGCGCAGTGCTAGGGACAGCTAAGATACTGTGCAGAACCCTCAAACTCTCAGGCCTCTGGTAGAGAACTTGAGATTCCTCTGTTTTCATTGGTTGATAGAAGTAGAGACAACCAATGATGGCATAAAAAAACCCTGCTTAATCATATCTAATTGCTTTAAATTTAGAATTCAAGTAATTACATAGAAATTCATTGAAGACATAGTTTCATTAAAAAGATAAAAAGATGAATTTGGTTGACATAATATTTGGCTGTATCAAAAGGAATTAATACCAATTGGAAAAAAATAAAGAATTTTATATTTGGAATGCAACTATAAAAGCACAAAAAGGCAAAATTAAAACTATAATTTAAATCTTAAAGAAATGTTAATAAGTATTCAAAGCTGCTTGAAAAGCTTATAGTTCAACAGTAGGAGTCCATATGAAACTTGCACGATTTATTAACACAATCATAGGAAATGATGAGTTCCAAACAATACATTTCATTCATACTGTAAGGTCTAGAACAAATATGTGCTGAATGTCCTTTCATCTGTAGCAAAATTCTTGTCTATACAAAGCTAAAAGTTTAATTGTGTAAATCTTTTGACTGACTTTGAGAATCATAAATTCATAAGTAAGATTTTATTCTGAACTGAAAGTAGCTGATGTACAGTTATTGTAGACTGCTCTTTCCTGAACATGTGGCTCTTCTAATAATTGTACAGGCATAGGATAGTTAAAAAATGCTCATAATTTAATGATCAATTGATGGAGGTAAGTTTTATTGGGACAACTACATATTTCATGTTTGTTTAAAATCAATTTTTGTTTTAATTGCACTGCTCAGAGTTCATGCTGGTATATTGGCAATCATAAAGGTTTGTTGAATAGATAAGTCAAAATAAATAAATAAAATGATTTTTAAAATGAGTAACAAAGTTACTTGTTTTTAGCATTCAGTTTAAACACAAGATCAAAATAATTCTGTCTTGAATAACACTGCAAAATCTCCTTTGTCATACTATCAGTAATCCAAAAATGAATTTTTAGGGGTATTTGTATTTTTGTGTTTCTTATATTATCAGGATGATATTTAAGTTTTAGTTCTATAACCAAAAATGAGAATTTATTCAGAATGCATACTGGATGCATTCAGATATATCTATCTGTCTATCATTTGACATAAAGTTCAAACAGTTCAGATTCTTTGGATCTGCATATTTGTCTAGTATGTTTTTTCTTTTGCAATGTCTTCTGCTACATCTGTTTTTGGGTTCACCAGCTTATTGTTTGCGATGTCAGTTAGAATTGGCCTTAGAGACTAGAGGAAAGAAAACAGGTATATGGAATCAGTTCCTTCCTGAGACTCCTTTTTGGCCTACATGGCAAACTGAATTCTCATATGGCCCTAAATCAGATTATAATTTTAGAGGGAAATCCTACAGCCACTTATATGTCAATCTGAATCTAGCATGACATACAGCATTGTGTAGTCACATCTAAAAACAAAAATTGTTGATAGATGAAGAATTTAATAATATATGATGAGTTTGTCATTCCTACAATTTTAGCTGCTGAACAACATGTTATGACTTTCTCATTAGATACTCACAGATGTAATCAGTCAAAAGAAAGCATATTATTCACTGCACCACATGCATGACTGCCCTATTGATCTGGTACCAGGGGCTAAGATCCCATTTGGATGTCTCTACTCTTTATCACAACCTAAGTTGGTAGCCTTGAAGGGATCCATTGATAAAAATGTGAAAATAGATTTTATTTGACCCTTATCATTTCCTGCAGTGGCTAATAACTGTTCTTTAGAAAAAAATTGTGAGAATCTAGTATCTGCAAAGGTTACTGGCAACTGTATCAGATTATTGTTTATAATCATTATTCTTTGTCATTCATCTCTGAATACCTCTACAATACTAAATGTTTATCAAGTGAGATATTATAGGTTGTACAATTTAATGTGCAAAAGAAAGAGAAATAAATCGAATACAGTGTTTTGCACATACTATGGGCATACTGAATATACGGTCATGTCTCTTGGATTGATGAATCCTCTTGCAATTTTCCAGCATCTTATGAAATCTCAGTGTGTTCTGAGATTTTCTGGATCATTATATCATTATTTATATTGATGATATCCTGATGCAGGATATACATGCAGAACATGTATAACATGTCAGACTGATGGAAAATCATCTATTTACAAAAGTCACTTAGTGTGAATTTAAGAGTACCACAACAGAATTTCTAGGCAATTTTGGTAGTGCCATGGATTCCAATAAGGTGGATGCTATCTTGTCTTGGTAGTCCCCACACACGGATGTACAATGCCTACTGGGCTTTACAAATTATCAGTTTTTTATTCTTTGGTTTACTGAAGTCACAGCACCATTGACCAACTTCTTCCAGAAGAACGTCATTTTTCAATAAGATAAGAAGGCTCAGAAAGCTTTTGAAGCTTTAAAGTCTGCATTTTCCTCTCAGCTTAATCTTTGTCACCCAGATCCAGCAAGTCTTTTTGTTATAGAGACTGACATCTTTGAGGTAGTCTTAGGAGCAGTACTGCCCCAGGCAGACTTGATGCTTCTCTAGTATATTCTCCTGTGACTATTACTCTCAGAAACTGAATGATGGCTGAGAAAAACAATATCACTGGGATAAGGAACTGCCAGCAATTAAGGCCATTTTTGAAACCTTGTGACAATTGCTAGAGGGAGTCAGACACGCAGTGGAAGGAGGCCAGATACCCAGTGGACGTCTGTACTGATCACCAGAATTTTGAACATCTTCAAACCACCAGGAAATACTAATCCACTCAACATTTTTTTTGTTCACTTTAGTTTTAGAATCACATCTCTTGCAGCCATAATAAATATGCTGATGCTCTCTCCGGGAAACCAGAATATGAACACTCTGACACTGACTCCCAGTCTGCCACTTCAGAAAACATTGTTGCTCCAGTTTTTCAATAATTCTACTATAGGAACTAAAGTAACAGTAATGTCTAGATCAGGGGTGTCAAACTGCCAGCCTGCGGGCCAGACACATCACGTGGAAGTCACACCCACCCATTGCCGGCAATGGCAAAACCGGCCCGATACGTTGCACAATGTCACGTGACATCGTGAGTTTGACATGCCTGTCTAGATAGTTATGTAGAGACCTGTTCGAGGGAAATTCTTGCAATTTAAGTTTCCACTGAACCCTTATGGGGTATGGTCCTGAGGCTACACCACAACAGTCCATTGGCAAGACACATTGGACATTTAAAGATTCTGTATGGGGTCAGGGTTAGGATTTTTAAAAATAATATTCTTAATATTTAGCAAACAGCATGTCTGGGTTCATGTATTTAAAAAAACAATGAATAATAATTATCATAAACAATATGTTAATTAATTTCTCAATAGTCGACTTCTTATTAGTATATATTCAGTGTTGCATATCACATTCTTTTCTCTCTAACTCGTTTTTCTAGCCATTGATAAAAAATTATCCCATGTTCTAAAATACACTGAATCTTCTTTCTCTTTTATCTTTAAAGATTCTGTATTTATTCAGTCAAAATTTCTGCTGGCTACATCTCCAAATGGAGGCGGAGCAGTATTCACTTCCTGTCCTCATTGCTGCTGAGTCAACGATAGTCCAAGAAAGGTACCTGGGGAACTTCTATTAGTGTGAACCTTGAAAATTCCTGACAAGCCATGTTGCTCTGTATATCACTATATCAGACTGTATCACTAAACTACCTCTGTCAAAAGGATCAGCAACCATATTGGTGGCTCATTTCATTCCCTGTACCTGCTTACTCAAAGCAAAGGAGGTGGCAAGTCACTTTTTAGAAAATATTTTCCACCTATATGAATTACATGAGCATCTGATTTCTGATCAGGGCCAGGAAATCACTGCTTTGTTTAGATGGTACTCTTAACAGAGTTGGGGATGCAACTCCATCTTTCCTCACCATCATACCCAAATAGACAGGCAAATGTGAACTTGCAAATGCTATCACTGAGAATATGTCTGTGGTTATATCAATTATCAAGAAGACAACTGGACTGAGGTTCTGGCTACAGTGGAGTTTGCCTACAATAATGTACAATACATCTCCATAAAGATACCTCTGTTCCTAGTTAATTATGGTTTCCACTCTTATTTCTTTCTTTTGAATTCCTCTAATTCATCCATTCTAATCAAAGATCAGTTCTCATAGGAGTGAAGATAACCCACCAAGTCCTCCAAGACCAGGTACAGGAGGCAAAGAACTTCAATATCAACAATCTAGAGTCACCTTGTCATTTGCAGACTTTGTGTGAATTTCCACCTGACATTTGTTAGTGCAGATCCAAAAAAACTAGATGTCCAGTTCCCAGTTCTTTTTCCCATTGAAGTAAAGGCTTATCACCTGTAATCATCAAAATGCACCCAGTCTTCCATAGATCAGTATTGATTCCCAACGCTGCAGCAAATATTCATCATCCAGATGTTCAGCTTCCATCATGTGTCATGGTAGATGGTGAACCTGAGTATTATGTGGCACATATTTTGGACTCCCATTGGTATCAACACTGATTACAGTACTTGATGGTCTGGAAGGGAAATGGTGGAAAGGAATGTTCCTGGGAGGATGTACCACACTTGGTATTTCAGTTCCATTGATGATACCCTGAAAAGCCTGAACCCTCAATTGAGGTTGGAGGAGACTGTGGGGAGGGGGAGACTGTCACAGCTCATGTGCTTAGTCTAACTATATAGAATAAATCCCTTATTTAAAGACTGCAACCTCATTTAAGACACAACCCTGAGCCATCATCCTTCACTGGAATTGTTCAATCTCTGGCTGCTGCATGATGTTCATTTGGATTCTGTTTATGAAATTTTGATCTGGACTTGCTGACCACTCTGATCTGGATTTCTGCACTGGATTCTGCATGTTCCTGTTAAAAGAAAAACCACCCTGGGAAAGCTCTTTCAGAGGCTGTTTTGATTTGCATTTGTTGTCTGCTGATATCTCCTTGAATTTGAGTAAACTGTTAATTTCTTTACCAAATGTGTGTGAGTGTATAATTGAAACACACTGCTACTGTGTTTGGGACAAACAAACCAGGTTGAAACAGTGCGATAATATTTCTATGTATGAAGATATCAATTTGTCTATCTGAACATCTAATGAGAACAATAATAGATAACAATGGAGGGAAAAGAAATGAATGCGTTATTTCCAGAATTCATCTAATGTAAACTCCTATAGAAGATAATCTAAATGCTTAAATTTAAAAAAGATATCTCAGAAATAAGGAAAATAGTTATCATTTATGTTTTTGCTAATAGAGATCAGATGTTAATTATTAAATAGATTAATAATAATCTATTACAATTCCAATCAATGTCAGGCAAAACTCCGTTTGATTCTGAATATGTAAACTCAGTACCATATAATAGAAATGATTTGTTTTAATTGAGAAGCAGGGATAATTTAATAATTTATACCAATAATTTAACGATTTAAAATTGAATTTTCATGTCTGATTTTGTAAAATGTAAACAATACAACAACCAGTAATTAAGTCTGGATCTTTTCTTTTCCTCTCGGACAGAATGAAAATTTCTAAAACTATATCTACCCTGTATTTCATATCACATACAACCAAAGGACACTTACATATTTGACACATTAGAAAAATGCTTCTTTTATTTCAGTTGAAACCCTATAAAATAATGGTAATGATATCAAAATTTTTATAACCTCTCAGTATTAGTATTGTTATTTAACAATGGCACTGAAAAAACAATCTCTAGAAATGTCATTTCACAGAACATTGCACCAACACAAAACACGACCGGCATTTCTAATGCAAATAAAAATGACATGGATAATAGTTTTTAAATAAGTTCTGTGTAAATATTTCTTTAATACTGGAAACAAACTCATTTCAGATAAAGCATTACTTTTGTATGTTTTCAAAAAATACAGCACCAAAAATGTAAATCTACGTTTACCAGTCACTGCTGTTTTATTATTTTTTTAGTACATTACTACTGATACCATTAAAAAGTATAATTTCATTTATTTCAGCGATGGTACAAATTAGATTGTACAAATCAAATGTATTCATTACTTCTATTATGCAACATGATTCAGATTCAGAAATGACATCAAATTATTAAGGTCCTTGCATTATTCTATTTTTTATTGTATAATAACTTTGAAAACAAGTAAATAATAATTCTTTCCTTCTCTATCAGATATTTAGTAATTAATAATTATTTTAAAACACATCTGAATGATAACAAATGAAAGATGGAGAATTATATGAAATATGCTAAAATGGATAGAAGGATGGCTACTTACCAACAGGACGAACTGGAGATATTACAATGGTGTGGTGACAACATAACAAAATTAAAGAAAAAAAAAAGAATTTGTCAGAATGCATGATGTGTAATGCTATGCTATATGTGGATAATTAGCTGAACATTATTCATATATAGCAATCACAATGAATAATTCCCTTCTACTATTTATGATTTTAAAACTGCATTGAGAAATACATATATAGAATTTGATTATATAGAATTAGTGATCTGATTACTTTTGTTAGGTTCATATGACACTATTAAATTTCATTTCAAATATTTAAAGAAAAATAGCTAAATCTGTAGAACTTATTTTATTTAATCCAAACTCACATACTGGAAACTACTAATCCAATTAAAAGAAAAAATAGTGTCATTATTTGATTTAAATGCCAATGGAGCTTAACCACATCTAGCCAGGATTTGAGTAAGCTTGGAGAAAGCTGAAAGTATGTGATGATATGCATGTGTAGGCATAATATTTTAGTAACAAATAAAAAATGCATTTTTCCACATTCATGGATTGAGATGATAAAATTCTAACAAACAATTTTGAATGGCCAAAGGGATTTTTATGCAGAATGTCAGAAAATGCAATTGGGTAAGACTTTTTTTTTTAATGGAACTGATTAATGGGATATTTTTTTTTAAAATGTACAGAGTGTCTTCAGAATGCAAGAGTCTATCATGGCATTAGATTGTCATATTAAAAGTGTTTGGCTTATGCATCAGCTCTTACTTGATTGAAGGACAAGCTTAGGTCTGCGTGAATTATTTTGTAGAAGAAACAAAGAAGTTAAAGAATAAATCACACAATATTGTTAAATACTTAATTATTACATTAATTATTCAGTTGCATTAGTCAAACTTCACAAAATAAACTTGTAAGTTTCTTTGAGAAGTGTAGCTTCCTGTTTTTACACAAAGCAAATTCTAGATCGCTCATTTTGATTATTTTATTTTTTCTCTCTATGATTTACACAATAAAACACCACTTTCAGTTATAATATTGTAGGCTGCAAATACAAGAAATGGAATTTAATACGTTTTGACATGATATAACCATAATTACTTTCAAATTCCTAATATGAATATTTATTGACTGACTTGCCACTTTCAGAAGAAGAGATGTTATTACACATTTATAATTAAATTAGGACATTGACAAACCAATAGCATTTAAAATCAGTTAACTTTAATATTATTTTATGTATATATTTCTAAAGAATAATATTCTCTAGACTTCCGGTGGCAGGCGATTTCGTCGGTCGCAGCTGTTTGCTGCCTCCCGCCTGTTTTGCGTAAAAGCCGGTTTGACAGCCAGCATCAGCTGTCAAACGGCTTGATACCTTTCCCCTGGGCATAAGGGGATAGGTGAGCTGCCCGGGGTAGGAGTTGAGTTCCCGAGTCGTCCTATATGGACGATGTAGGCGAGAA